CGGCAATATTATATAGAAGATTTCTTGTTGAATTTGTAAAAATCTATTTAAAAAATGTAATTATATATGTAAGTAAATCTAAAAGCTTCCATTAATTTATAGAAAATATTAAGTTTTTTTTTTTGTTTTTTAATTATCTTTTATATAATTTTGAATTAAAATAATCATAAGAATACTAAAAATTTAATAATAAAATATAGACAGTTTAATAAAATGTAGCTGGGGCTAAGGCCATATTTTGTAACCGAGACTGCTTAAACATTTATACATTGTAAGGTATATATATTTTTAATTCAAAATTCATGTTATATTTTGTATATATATGTATATATAAACATCATTATGATCAACATGATCATCATCATCATCATCATCATCATCATCATCATCATCATCATCATCATCATCATCATCATCATCATCATCATCATCATCATCATCAACTCATCATCATCATCGTCAGGTCTTAGTCTTCCTCTTCTATTCTGTTTTTCTAATATAAACAATCTAGAGCATTTTCTTTCATTAACTAAAGCTTATACAATATGTAAGGCGCTCTCTTCAAGTTTTCTTACTTACACCACTACCATTTTTTCCTTAAGCTGCTATCTCTCTGCTATCTCTCTGCTATCTCATCAGGTTTTCCTGGTCAGGTCAGGTTTTCCTGCTACTGGTAACATGTAACTCAGTACAACCTGCTCCATGTCCTGCTGCCTTGTAGGATACGCTTTTTAAGGCAAAGGCTAGGAGAAGTTAACTCCGAATTAAAACACCCCCTGCCTTGGGGCTCTTGGTTGAGTAAAGGCTAGAGATGGTGTCTCGATAAAAATACTCATCTTGGGCAGATGTTACATGCATCCAGCTGCTGTCTTGTAGAAGGCCTCCTAGGCAAAGACTTAAGGGGTAAACAGATTCTATCTGTTGACCAGCCTCGCACCCCTTCCTCATCTATTAGGCTGGCGCAGATGTATTTTTAATACATTGTTTCCAGTTTAGGATGTTGAACGCTGGATCTTCTTGACTCAATGCGTGGGTATTGCTTGTGTCTCTATTTTTATGACTGGGCAACTCATTCTATTATCTCCTAATGAGGGTACAGCTCTAAAACTCAGTTTTATGGTTCTGAGGCCGGCTGGTAGTCAGGTTTCCCGAACTCTGTGGTAGCTCTCAGAGAGGCTGATTCCATCAACAGCCGAAAAATATCAGAGTACTAACAGTGCCATGTTGCGCATGGATGGTGTCCCTGTTTGTACTTTTGGTGTGCATTGCAGAGGCCACATTTGGAGCCCTTTGTTACGGCTTAGGGTTTATTAATAGTAATGAGGCTATTGCTTAGTTGTTAAATAGT